ATCTTTAAAAAATGACAAACATGGCTTACATGTAACTTGGTAATGTCCATTACAAGATGGTTACCACATGTAAAATACCATTATATTTTGGACCAAATTTATTTTTGTTATCAGTCATTTTTAATCATTATATTTGTAGGAGAAAAGAAATGATATAATTAGAAAGTTAATCGCAACACTGACCCTCCAATGTTGTATTGTTGCAACAGTTACCACATGTAAAATACCATTATATTTTGGACCAAATTTATTTTTGTTATCAGTCATTTTTAATCATTATATTTGTAGGAGAAAAGAAATGATATAATTAGAAAGTTAATCGCAACACTGACCCTCCAATGTTGTATTGTTGCAACATGAGTTGCAACACCATAATATTGTAAATTTACATTACAAGTGCCAACTCTAATTACAACCTGATTTTGTTAACCAGAAATCTGCATTGGAAGAGACAATTTTAGAGGCAGGTCATTGTGTATTTTTAACCCCAAGTTTCACTGTGAATTAAATTATATAGAAAGGTATTGGGGTTGTGCTAAAAGATACATTGTGATTATTCATGTAGTTTGCAAACTATAGTCCCTGTTGCTTTAGATTAATTAAAATAAGGAAATTTGCAGGGAAAGCATGAAGATATATGGATTTGTATAGACATGGAAATTACTAGAAAACTAGTAGAATATGCAGTAAAAAGTATAAATCTCATATACAGGAGAATTCCTCATTATGTTATACAAGAGTTAAACAATGTTGAAATTGATCAATTTTATTAAATTTTCCAAAGTCACATGTGGTTGGCATTTTTAAATTTCGGACTATTGGCAATTATAGATGAAATGCACCACAGTAGGAATAATTATGGGTATATCAATATTGGCAGATTTGGTATATGGGGGGCTTTTCAATAGAGGCGGGCCATGTTGTGAAAATAGCAATTTTTGAGTTAATACCATTGCTATATGCTCCTCATGTAGAATATTTTTGGCTTAGAAATCATGCCCACTTTGCATAGTAAAACATCGAGATACTTTTATTTAAAGTTCAAAACAATAGTAAACCTCTTAAATGTGTATCTTTTTTGATTTTCTCAAAATATCATTTTCACAACATGGTCCGTTTTTATTGAAAAGCCCTCATATAAGTGCTTAAAAATAAATTATAGCAAATATTATTCATAAATATAAAATTTGTCATTTTTATTATTAATTAATTTAAAGAAGGGATTAATCTGGCATGATTTTTTACATAAATCAATTAAATAAATAGTACAATATATTATTCAATCTATATTCTATAAATATGCAAATATATATAATATATTTACATATTGTTGCTGTCAATCAAAAGGGAAATTTTGATTCTAAATTAAAAATATTTTTTATAAATTATTTTGTATTTTAAAAGTATCCCAGGCATCATTTAAAACAGAAAATACTCCATTGGCTATAAGCCTTTGTTCAATAGTGGTAGTTGAACGATTAAGCTATATAATTAATTAACAGATTAGTTGATAGATTAATATCAAATATTAATGAATTAGTTAATATTTGATTATTAACTAATTGTAGATTTATAATAGCACCAATTAATTTAAATTTTACACATACTTTATCTGGGTGTAACTTCGAAATGGCCTTCATGTATTTTATTTTAACTTGTGAAGGAGTAACCAATTCATGCAATCCAATTTTTTTCCAATCAAGGTCATGCAATAATATTAAATCAAGACTACTAATCAATGCCCTTATATTTGATTCTTTGCTGCTTTTCCATAACAACAGTTTCTTATCAACTTGATCCTTCAATCTTAGCTTTTCAACCTCCTCCCACTCTTGTTTTTGTGCTTTGTCACGTAGTCTCATCACTGCAGGATTATTAGGATCAATTGGTTGCATCATTGTTTTTTGTTCCACTATTGGATCTATGAAACCATATGCATTCAATGGGACCCCAAATGTACTTGATGAAAATGATAATGGCTGTGTTGTTGTTGTAGTTCTTATATTAAGACTATTATTATTGTCATTATTGCTAATTGATGAAGTAGAGAAATTATCTAGTGATATTAATGATTCATTTACATCATCATAATAATTATCATAACTGTTATAGCCATTAATCTTATTGCTATTATCATTATTATTATTATTATTATTATTATTATTATTATTATTATTATTATTATTATTATTATTATTACTCTTATTGCCATTGCTATTATTATCACCATTACCATTATACATCATTTTAATAGCCTTTTGACATCTTCTCAAGCCCTCATTAATATTTTTCCCAACATTAGGATCAACATAAATTATTTTTTGATAGTCATGTTTTGCAAAATCATATTTTTCCATTGCTTCATAAGCAGAAGCACGTCTTAATAAAGCTTTAGTATACTGATCTTTTATATTTATGTCAATGTCAGGTGGTAATGGTAACATGTGGTCATCAATCAATTCAATTGCCAATGAGCAATCCTCCACACAACCATGATGGTTTCCATTTTTGAGTCGAGCAGCAGCTCGGTTATTGTGAAGGACCACACGAAGTAGGTGATTTGAAGGGAGAGAGTTAATTGCCAGTGAATAATGGTTTTCAGCTTCACCAAATTGACCCAATTTAAAAAAACCATTTCCTTTAGTTTTATTGGTTTCAGAATTTCTTAATTGTTCTGGTAATAAATGAATCACAGGTCTTGATTTTGGTATTGGTTTAGGCTTTAATTTTAATTTTGATTTTGATTTTGGTACAGTATTTGATTTTGGGTCCAATTCAGCCACTGTTGACTCTAATAAATTATTGAATTTACTTGATGCACTCAATAAATCTATATTTGGTTTAGTTGATCTAGATGGCAAGGGTGGTTTTCTTGATCTTGGTGGTTTTGGTGGTGGTTTATCACTTATGATGACGGGATTACATGGAATGCCTAGGTCCAGTAAATCATTATTTTCAGAATAAGACTATAAATATAGAATTATAAACTTTATAATTAGTTGACTATCAAACAAATCTACAAAATTAAATGAATTAATTAATGAAAAAGATTTACAATAGGTATACTTGAAATGTTTGTTGGATTATTAGTTAATAAGTCTATATCCCGTTGATTTGTTCCATTATTATTTGAAGTATTATGGTTCTTTGGTGGTAAATTATGTGAAATTCTGATAATTTTAAAATTAAAAAAATTAAATTGATATATGAATTATAATATTATAAAAATATAATAATTAAAATTGTCTTCTAATAATTACTATATTATATACATTTGATTTATTAAATTGTTTGCGGAATCAACAGAAGGAAGAGGAGGATTAGATTTGTTAGAATTTCCTAATAATAGATCAAATTGATCTATTATGGAATTGGTAGAACGATGAGTTGGTTTAGTTGAAGGAGTAGAGCACACAGTCTTAAAAATTGGTAGGGTGGCTGATGTTGACGTAGTTGTTGTTGAGGAGGAAGTGGTTGATAGTTTTGGGGTGGCCTTTAAGTCGTTTAAAGACTTTGAAGCAATTGTTTGAGTTTGAGGTTTATTTGAGCCCCATATTAAGTCTTCTAGATCCTCCATTATCAATTTTTTTATTTTTTATTACTAGTCAATTATTATTTAAACATACATAGAAGGTTACTTATAACTCGTAACACTGTCTTTTTCTTAATTTAGAAGTTAAATACATAGTGCAGCCACTTTTTGTAATAGTAATAGTAAAATGAGTATCTGGGACATGGACAAATAAACTCACCCTGAGATCAATTTTGAATATGCAATTCGTAGAGAAAGTTTTATTACGAGTTTTTTATAGCCAGCAAAACACCAAATTATTTATTAAGAAGATAGATTTAGGACCTTTTCTAGCAAAAACAATCTTCCACAAAAATGGATTTTTTTTAATCTAATATAATGCCTGGTACACACAAAATTTAATTAATAATACCTGTTATCGGGCAAACAGCTTGTTATTTTAGGTACAAAATGATGTCAATATGATTGATATACTATTTATACAACATTTCTATGATATAATTAACAAGTAAACCTTATTACACTAAATCAGGAAGATCCAAATCCTCCCTATAGCTAATTGTGGCTTCATAGAAAG